CATGTGGGCGAAAGCCTTGAAGTTCGGCTCCACCCCGTGCAGTTCGCACCCGGCCACATAGCCGAGTACGTTGACCCAGGAGTTCGGGGCTAACTGTCATAACCCCAACTCATACCCATCCAAGATCCGCTGAAATGCCGGATGTAGTGGGAAGCGCAGCCCAGCCTTGATGGCCGCCTCGTAGCAGCCAAAGCAGGCGCCATCATAACTGGTACCAGCCGGCCAGACGACTGTGTCTTCTGGATCAGGCACGAACACTAAAAAGTCGGGGCCCATTGTGTGGTTTGCGATAAAGCTCCCCACTTTCTCTTGCATGGCCGTGATCCGGCCCCGAGGTACCGTGCAGTAGTAGGGGGTATTTTGCTCTCGGTGAGAGGCGGATGGCTCCGCCCAATCGTCCCCCTTCTCAACTGCGTGAGAAAGCCTCGCCTCTTGTAGGCGACTGTTTTTCTCTTCTGTGTCCAGAGAAGCATGGCCAGAAGAGCTAGACTCGGATTCGTCCTCTGACGAGTCCGAAGAGGACGACTCCTCCCCTCTCCCGGAGGGGCCCGCCTCCTCTCCTTTAAAAGGAGCAGGAGAGAAGTATAATTGTCAACTGTAAAATGGGAAGGGGTCACTTTGACTCCTCCCTCAGAACTGCCAGCTTTCAAGCCGCTTTGTTTCACTTCCACATCTGGCGCCTGGTCAGATGTTTCACTAATCGGCACCCTGTGGGAGGAGCCGTCTGAGTTTGAGATCCTGGCAGTCTTTTTTGTTCTGGCCATCATGCTCTGCATAGACACAGATACAGTAAGACTTTGTATAAAGGGCAAAGATGGGTCCTAAAAAGGGCAGGCGGCACTCCTAGTCCTAGATTCAGCCGTCCCCGGTGACCGGCTGATCACTAACCTAGGTCGTGTCGTGTGCTTCCGTGGTGCCATTTCAAAAAAGAATAAAGCAAAGAGAAAATTAAGAGTAAGAGAACCGACGGTTACCTGAACGAGTGACGATTGATGAAGTTCTGAAAATCCTTTGCAGTCGGCTTGTCAGAGCAGGCGGTAGGCAGAAAGGGTCCAAAATGTCAGAGCAAGTTCAGGGGTCCGAATGTTCTCTCACAAAGTATTCAAGTGTGAAAATGACCGAAGTCAACACTCCTTTATATAGGCGAAGTGAGAAGGCGAAGGGTCACTTCCAGAATTCAAAATTTTGGCGGGAGAATCTCTCGGCCTCTCGCCGAGTGACACCTGTAGCAGGTCGTCGCCTGTTACAGGGCGACTCCTGTCACAGGTAACACGTGACCAGTCACGTGCCACCTGTGAGGGGAAACTGATTAGGGGATTTTGCTCCCACCAATCGGAATGCGCCACGTGGGCCAATCAGGTCCTGCCAAGTGTCCCCCAGTTGGACCTCTCAGGGCTTGCCACGTGGCACACGCTTATTCGTCCACCCTGGACTTATTATGTCATGACACGTGTCATACTCCATGCCTAATGGAGAAGCCGGTCACCTAGGCCCAACTTCCGAGGGAAGCCCAATCAACCCAAGGTTAACCTAAACCTAGATTGGCACGTTTCCCGAGGTTATAAATACCTCCCTTAATCCTCATTAAGGGAGATTACGCAGATTACACACATTAAACACTCTCACCTAGAGAGACCCAATCACTTTAATTTCCGCATTAATTACTCCTTAATCAAGTACTAACTTGACCGTCGGTGGCGGATCTCCAATCATCCGGAGCATCCGTTTGTTTTGCAGGTACAGGCGTCCGGTTCCAGTCTCGGAATTGTAACTCTCCCGCAGGACATCAGAAAACCCCAAAACAGTTTCAGTAGCCCCTTCCCCCTTTTCTGATAGCCCCTTCACCCCTTTTCAGCAACCCCTCGTTCCCTTTGATTATCAGCCCTTTTCCTTTCCCATCTTGTCTCTTTTCTCTCAATTGCTTTGGTAGTGAGGGGACTAGGGGTGGGGGGAGGAAGGGTTTCGATGGTAGGGAAGGGGAAGGGGAAGGGGAAGGGTTGTGGAGAAAATAAAGAGAGGGGTGGTTTCGTGTGGTGGGGGAAGGGAATGGTTTCAGTGGTGAGGAAACGGGAGGGATTAGGCCAAGTGGTGGTTATAAGAAGGGTTTGCCGACATTGGTAGATGTAGGGACTTTTTTTTGTACAATTATTCTGTGTTGACACATGTCATGTGAACAAGTTAATAAACGGATTGGACCAATAAAAGAAAATACCCCTTTTTCAAATAAATATTATGTCTCGTTTTTTCGACATATTACATGACAAATGCTTTATTGGTCATTTTCACACAAATAAAATACAAATAGCTTTTAATAATTGTATGATATGTGTAGCTTTCAGAAATTCTAAGCTAATTAAGTATTGATAATATAGTTGTTTCCGCACTAATTTAATCCAATTAGAATTTGGCAAAAATATCAAAATTTCACAGTATACACACTTGATCCAAGATTAACTCAAATAGAACATAGTGCCAAGTGAAACCAACTGGAATCTGAAACAATTTTAACTCAAATCGATTAATCGAACATAGTGCCAATATCAAATTTCACACTACACACACTTGATCCTTATTCACTTGTTACTCGTAGTTGGAAGTGGATCAAACCAATTTAACATAACTGTTCATGACCCTAACCCCTAGGTCCCCTACCGCATACTCAATTTGAGGTCTCGACTTGCAATATACTCAATTATAACCGTTTTATTTATTTTAAATGCCAAGCCACACTTGTAACTACTAACAACGCATTCATCAAAGGTCAACATTTATTTACTATGTCAGCCACCACACAATCCAAAGTCAAATGTGTGTAAACAACCATGTTTTGGACTTTGGGGATATTTTGGGGCCATACATAATACGGAGTATATATTAACATCAGTCATTGTCCAAAATTGTGAATAAATTTTGAGTTCAATAACTCCCTATTAAATAAAGCATACAAATATATATAAAAAATAATTTGTAAATATAGAAGAAAAAAACTAGCAATGGATGATCTAATAGACAATTTAATATAATGTATTTTTCAATATTTGCCCTTATAAAAGTTTTCATATCTTCGATCAAATTTTTTTAATTATGTATTATTATAGGAGCTGTGTCCAGTTAATTCCCAAGATAAACGATATAATCGTCTTTTTAAGTACCATTGAAGGGATACATGCGTCTTTTTATGTACTAGTTGAAGGGTACATATGTAATTTTCTTAATGGAAGTTGCAAACAGTAATTGGGTTGCTCACAAAAAATAACCACGCTTTTTCAATATATTTACAAAAATGCTACCAGATTAACAAAAATTTTGTTTATATAGCAGATAAACTTGTATTTGCCGTAATTAAAGATTGTATAACTACTATCGCAGATTATTATGATTGAACTTTCTCTTTTCGGCAAGAATATTCTAAAATGGGCAAATGAAAAGTAGTGAAGAAAGTTTTTTTTTTTTAACAAGAAAAAAAGTATGTTATTGCATTTGTAGTTTATATTACTTCAGCTAATTTTTAGTTACCTATAATTATTTTATTTTTATTTTTTTTTTAAATATTTATGGAGTAGATTCTAATAATCTGTATCTAGTTTTCCAAACTTAACTTCAAATTTGTTTTAAGTTTAGTTGGTTGCAAATTGGACATGGATTCCTTAAATTTTCTTCAATATGTCTCGTTTAAGACGGGTGTACATTAATTTTATTGTAAAACGCTCGGTTTGAAAGCAACTTTTACCATTTTTGTAGTAACTTTTAACCCCTTAAAGGATAACTTTTAATTTATTGTTAGTTTAAATTTTATTTAAACATGTAATTTCTTATAAATTCATGATTACATACTATAAAGGCTAATATGATTAATCTAATACATTATAAATTTTTTGTAAGATATAATTTATTATTTAAAAAATAATAACTTTTGTAGCATAAAGGGTAGCTTTAAATACTTTTTTAAAGCTAAGTAACTTTTTAATCATCTTACAATAAGTTCATGTAAATCCGTCTTTTTAGAAAGTTTGTGATTTTCTTGCTTTAAATTGTCTAATCTTATATTCTACTTCGTGACCTTTCTAATTTATTTAAATTGTGCTTAGATTTTTCAGTTGAATATAAAATTAATATTTGGGCAAACCCAAATATGTAGGTTCAATTACAAGACTCCATTTTTTATATTTTAGTTATTTATAACAAATTTTTTTAAAGAGCTAGTTTGGGTCAATCAACCCCCACCCATCTCAATGTCATTATCACCACCCTCATTTATCATCTTGAGCGCTGTAAGTATGGAACCATTTGCTTAAAATAGGAACATGTAAGGATGTTGCAATCAAAATGATGACTAATACAAAGTACTGTAATAACTATAACAAGTATGGAAAAAAGATTGGCCACGGACCACATATTAATTCATAAATGTGAACATAGTCACACTTTATCCAATAGTTTGGTACAAAATGTTGTGGCAATCAAAGCATTAACTTAAAATAAAGTTTACACACTTACGACAACATGCCTATTAGCCACGTAGAGAGGTTTGAAGAAAATGAAAGATTAACTAGGTAAATCTCTAATGGGAATGTTTGATTGATACAGGATTGAAAGAATGATTTAAACTCAAAAGGATAATTTTGGGAAAGATCTACTTTATTAATTTACTTCATAACAAATTTGGCATTACTCATATTTATGTGATAGCCTACATACAGGCTCATCACTCAGAAATTCAGAACTATCATTCATTACTAAACTTGGCAAAACCAACCCAACATGAAAGGATTGAACCAAATGAGTGAATGACCCAACCCAAAACCTAATATTGACCCAAAAACGGAGACTTGATATCAATCCAAGCCTGAATTTGGGAAACCTAAATAGAACTCAACCGAAAAACAAAACAAACTTGAATCAAAACAGTACCAATCCGAACGATTCTTAGTCAGGTCTATTTATCATAAGCCATAACCCTCCAGCCCATCATCGCATACATCTACGTCATCAAAAAAAGATTAGTGAATAGTGATTGATACAAGAGAATAAGAGTACTGTTTACAGAACAATAATAATACAGCACAAAGTTGAAGCAACTAGATGAATCCTAAATAAACTCTATTGATTCTCAGAAATTTAAACAAAAAGGTTCCCAATACAATAAGAAATACAGACTGTTAGAGACATCTAAAAACAACCTACAGAACGGTTTTTAAAGGTAAAATAGAAAGAATTGTCTATGATACATAGACCACTGCTGCAGGCTTTCTCTAATCTACTAGTCTACAACTCTATGGTATGACGAACACTAACACAATTCAAATTCTTTAATCAATCACACGAGCAGGCTGGCTAAATGCATTAGAACAGCCAGCCAAACTCCATCTCTTCATATACTTATGCTTTTCCAGAGTCGTCTGTATCCTCACCATCATCCTCATCCTCGTCCTCGTCATCATTAGACATATTTTCAATTACTTCTGTGATAATGGCCTTGACTTCTGCCTTTCTGTGCATTAAGTCCACGCCAAAATGGGAACCTGCAAAACATATTTACAGCACATCAGCAATGTATCCAGAAGCCCTCCAGAAAGCACAGATTCTTGTAATAACTCCACTCAAAATTGCATCCTGTCTTTGAAGATCATCCATTGTAAGACCAGATTCCAGATCTCTAAACAAGACTAACCAAGACATATATGGTAGTGCCCGGTATATCTAGCTAAAAGGAACATCAAGTAGTTCTAAGATCTTATCCTAATAAGCAATTGTCAGGTATGCAACTGTATTAATAAGGGAAAGGGCAGTAGACCCAACAACCTAAGTAGGCAAGTAATTAAAGTACAGGCACACAAGCAAGAATAGGGGATTGAACAACAGCAAGCATTAGCAATATGCTATGAAAGCACCTAACAGAGAAGAGTATGCAATCATATACTAGATAACAAGACAAGATAAAAGCAGAAGCACAAGCTGAATAAAGGAAGCAAAGACAAGGAAAAGCACATGTAAAAAGAAAGAACCAAACGGTGTGCATTTAAGTTAGCGCCAAGGGAAAATGTTAGATGTTACACATGAAGTCAACATTTAAACACTCGCTCCATCCTCAAAAAAAACTTCATGTTAGATTTGGACATTAAGGGATGCAATAGGGTGAGGTAGATTTTTTTGGTAGATGAGAATTTACATACAAATAAATTGAACAAAAGATGGTAATAAGACTCACATGACATTGAATAGAAAGAGAGAGTGAGAAAGAAGATAAAAAGGGATCCACTTCACTAAGGTTGGATGCATGAAATTTCCATATTAAGTAACAAGAAGATTTTATTTACAAACACCTAAAAAGGAATAACTAAGGTAAGGGACTAAGGGCCATGAAAGAAAGAAAGAAAGAAATGAATAACTATTTTGAGTGGAAATTTAGGGAAGAGAAAAATAATAAAATGTCGTATAAACTTGCCAAATACAAAAGTGACGCAATAAATGAAAATGTAGCAAGTGATGTAAATAAAATTAAATAATAAAATAAAATAAAGAGTAACATATATATCAAATATTAATGTGTAATATGTTTGATTCAGTCTCAATGAAAATTTTCAATATTTTTTTCATAATTTTTATTAGTAAAACATTGCATATTTTAAGTTAAACTTATGCATTGGCAAGGAGAGTAAATCCTACATCTATTTCAAAAGTTCTTAACATTTAGTGTTTGCACACAAATTAAGGTAATTGGAAAAAGAGTTTGATATTGTGAGTGGGTATGAGAAAAGGTGAATGAAATAAGATATTTAAAAAGTAGGTTTAACCGTTAAAGTAAGAAAAGTTGTATAAGTGGAAAGGTGTGAATATGCTAAGTTCTTGTTTGGTTGCCAATATAAAACGAGAAAAATGAAAATTCATATGAATTGATATGTTAAGTAGTTGTTTGGTTGACACATTAAAGTTAAAATGAAGGAATAGAAATTCATGAAAATTTCAACTTCTCACAAAACATGGGAAGTAAATTCCATAGCCCCTACCCCTAACAAATGAGCGTTCAATTAAAATTCATGGGAATTTATAATTCCAACATTGCTAACCAAACAAAAATAATTTCCCATGAAATACAGCTTTCTATGTCAACCAAATGACCCCTAAGATATGAGCGTAAAGGAGTAAATAAAAATGCAAAATATATATGAAAAAACTCCAGAATGATTGATTGATATGAAGAACTTTCAAATAAGTGTTACTCCATATTTTTTTCAAGTGACATACTAATTTTCAAAATGAGTTTTAGGAGAAATATATAAGGTAATTAAAACATTTCCTCTATTTCTAAATACATACACCATTTGACTTTTAAAATTGTTGACTATACTATTTCAACCATTGATAGTTGTAAGTGTAAGTTATAGGTTTTAAAAGTTTTACAAAAACCAATATTTTAAAAATGTACTTCACCCACCAACAATTAACAATATGACATTTATTACACATAATACTAATAAACAATATCAAAGTCATAAACAATACATCCTCCATTTTTATATAAGTATTACACTTTGATCAATACATAGTCTAATGTCGTTTAATTGACTTTACAAGAATAATAAGATGTAAAAAATTGAGGACTTAAAAAATTGTAAGTATAAATGCTAAAATTAATTTTCCCTCGGTCCCTTAATAAAAAACCTCTTTTGGTTTTTGCGCGGGAATTTAGAAAATTGTAAATTCTTTAAAACTAATGATTAAAAGTATACATGTGCATGTGGGGTTAGAGAAAGATAGAGAAAAAAAAAGTACTCCCTCCGTCCCTAAAGTACATTCCTCTATGGAAATTTACACGGGAATTAAGGAGGAAAGAATAAGACAAATAACAATAATTAGATAATGCAATAGGAAGTACAAAGATAGATTAGTTATTACTCATGACATGTCATCAATCCTTTGCAAAAAAAAGGACCAATCACATGCTCCTAATTGAAAATTTTTAACCAATCATATTCATTGTAATTTGGCACAAGGATTATGAGTGAGATTAGGTAAGGATGAGTGAGAAAGCATTAAATATAAAACAGAAAAAGAGTTGATTTACTAAAAAAAACTTACCAAAAGGAGGAATGTAATTTAGGGACGGAGGGAGTAGTTGGGAATAATTGAAGAGATAGAGAGAGAAAGTATTGGGAATTGATGCTAAAAGTACATAAAAGTAAAGGGAAAAAAAATGACAACTCATCAAAAAGAGTGTAATAATGTCAAAAAAATACAAACTTTAAATAGAAAGAGACATTGTATTTTGGTTTACTCAAAAAGGAAATAAGGCTTTGTATAGGGACAAAGGGAGTAGTTAATTGAAGAAGTAAAGGATGTAAGAATAGAGAATAAACAATAAAAAATAAAAATAAAAGAGTATAAGTAGGAGAGAAAACGATGAAAGGAGGAATAAATGTTAAAATGAAATCATTTACCCAAAACAAAAATGGGTTGCCTAAAAAATACAATTGATTATGGAAAGTAGAACACTAAAAAATAGAGGGATTATAAGAAGCTAAAATGGTGAGGGATTATAAGAAGCTAAAATGGTGTATGTGTTGTGAAACTGAGAAAATAATATCATAGTGAAGTTTGTTAAAGAATTGAATAATGTAATGGGTATATAAATTATAAGAAAGTTAAGAATATGAGATTCAGAGGGGAGAATGTAATAGTGGAAACTATGTGAGAAGAAATTTAATTAAAACTTAACCATGAAGACTAGAGAAGAGGTATTATAGATATATAATAGAAAGTATCCATATTTAGAAGACTCACTATATAAAAGGCCACTTTAAGAAAATGTCACTTAAAAGTAGGGGCGAAAGTTCAGTTTGGTTTATAGACAAAACCACATTAATTCGGTTTGAAATTTTTTAAATCGTACAAAATTACTATACAGTCCAAACCAAAGCACAATATTTTTATAGGCCTAGTGTATTGAGCTTTGATTTGTAACTTTTTTCGGCCTAACTCAATCTATTATAAATTGTAAAAATTAGAATTTATTATCATTTTATAACTTTTTTAGGCCTATCTCAATCTATTATATTAGATTCTAATTTTTATAACTTTTACAATACATATTCTAACGTGTGCCCATAAGCACACAACATAAAAGATTCATTATCAATAAAATTATTTTAACAAATATATTGAGAATCGTTCCATAAATGGTTAATTTAAATCAATGAATCTTAAAAAATGTCCTTAAGGGTTCACTAATTATAGCATTTGCCCACAGGCACACATTAGACATGGGCCCCTCCTTTGTCAGCCACCAATTTCCTTTCCCCTTGGCACCCAACCTCCTCCCCTTCTCTCCCCTCGAGAGATTGTTATACACATTTTGTTCACTTTTTTATGACTGTTATTCATTTAATCATCAAATGAAGAGTAAAAACTAACCTTGGGTTAGTTAAGTGCACAGGGGTGTATAGAATAATTTTCACCACTCCTTCCATTTTTCCAATTCACTAACTCTAAATACTCACGATCAGTACCCCCATTATCCGCCTCAACCTTAACCTAAAAAGACTAAATAATTAAGCACCCAAATGTGTTTAAAATAAAATGGCAGCCAAAAACCCTCCTAAAATGATCAACCTTATCACCCGAATTCGCTTATCAAACATCATCAAAATCCAAGTCAGCTAATTATAAGAATGTGCCTCAATTCCCCTTTCTTCTCCCTCAAGTGAATTAGTCATTCCAACCCACAAAGTCCCTTTACAATCCTTGTACAAATCAAACAATTTCGGGGATTTTCGAAGAAAATCAGATGATTTATGGGGTTTTGGGAGGTTAATTTGACAACGTACTTATTCAAGTTGTCAAATTGAAATTACATGTTCAGGTTCAGCTTTGATTATCTCCATCAAATGGCGGATTTTGGAGAAAATTTTCCATATTTCTGTGACAATTTCAAAGTCATGAAGGGCCTAGGGTCATAGCCGGCAAGGGGGGTTGGGTCAACAAGCTGGCGATGGAGGGACTGTTCATGGTTTTTGTTTTCTTTTCTTTCTTTAAAAAAAATGTAAAAAAGAACCTTAACCATGGTTAATGATTTAGGTAAAATAATTATTATTTTTGGTAATAAAAAGTACAAGATTACCAAAGATAATCAATAATTTTACAATTCACCAAAGATAAAATTACAAAATATAGTGTTTCCAAGGAAAATTTCCCCCAAAAAAAATCCAAATTGTGAAGGATAGCAGATCAAAAAAATTGGAACGGAAAACTGAGAAAGAAAATTAGCTCAAAGAGACAAGGTTAGATCATAGGTTTCTTGTGAAGTTCATTCATCAGCCCCGCCACAACCCTCTCTCAACCTCTCTCCCTCTCCGGTCCCAATCTCTACACCAAGACACAGCCAACTTCTTGACTCACAACCATACCCACATCCCTGAAGCTCACTGTACACCGAGTAATAGGCCTACAAGCTACAACCAAGGCCTCAGCAAATACAGAGCAGACGAGTAGGTCTGTTTTTGTAATCTTGTGTGAATATGTTAAAAAATATAATTAATTTAAGTGAAGGGATAAGATCATGGGTACTGATACTGAGAAAAACAATACAAGATTAGTAAGATGCACACCCACCTTGCCAAGGCCATAAAGAGTTAGGAAGTTGGAGATTTTTTGTTGAAGTAAATTAGTAGTAGTACAGTGATTAAGAATTCACAAGCTTGGCTTCTACTTGGCCTCCGTAGAAATATTCTGCACTTTTTAAAATTATCTTATGATGTAAAATTTTGTTTAAATAGTTTCAATCATTAAGTTGGATGTAATTCTCTTATACTTCTACAAAAAGTAGTGAAACGTACTTCATATTATATTATATACATTGGTGTATACCTGATGTCTTTGATTACAGCTTTCCCAAACCCATATCTGAAGCCACCAATGGGTAGCCCAACCACCAAACTACTCTTTCTGGCAGCAATTCTCCCTCCCCATGCGCATATCAGCATTCAACACATCGCAATCCCCCCATATCCCCTCTCTCTCTCCCACTACCTATCTTGGCTAATTGACTAGCGCAAGTTAATTTCACATAAATTTCTTCAAACACAACTAAATTGTCCTTGTTTCTATACCCCTATAAGCACATGGACAAATATTCTGACCAAATTTAATGAGGCGAGAGTATGGGCATAAAAGAGATAAACGTAGCATACCAAGCAGTCGAAGGATATCTGATAGAGTTGCCTGCACCAATATACCAGAAGTTTAGACAACCATCTGAAAATAATAGCTTAGAAATAAACATAGAAATCACAGTTACATACAGTATTAAAGTCCACTTCTTTCAAAATATTAACTGCCTGAGCACGCAATTCATCATTTGTTGGCTCTGCTTTTGCTTCTTTCTTTGTTTTCCCTTTACCTAAATGACAGAAAACATATAGAAAATTTTAAAAGGAGTCATCAATAGGCTACAACATACAGTTAAAAGATGATAGAATAAATTAGCAATCTTAACAGGCAAGAGTTTTAACATAACAATTATGCCTCAAGAAATCCAACAAAAGCAAAAGAAATATAATGATAGGGATAACAATGGGTAGATCAAGTTTGTCTGAAGGCAAAGCCAATAGGCTCAGGTTCTATCATCTGGGCGCTGAGGCGCAAGGCGATCAGGGGTGAGCGCTTAATCAGGTCTGGGTGAGGCGTTTTGGTTTAGGCGCACAAAAAGCGCTCGAAGCGCACCTGAGGCACACATGAGGCAAACTTCAGCCAAAAATTTTTAACTGCCCATATACTGCGCCTCACTTCAAAGAGGCGCACCTAGGCGCAGCAGAACCCCGCTCGCTTCAGTGCGCCTTGAGCTTTTTTACACCTTGATCTCATATTAAAAATTTGACTTGAAATAAACATCCCAGGTAGCCCAACTATTTTGCAGAACCAGCCCCTTTCAGTTGTGAGGCAAGGATCAGGTTGGTCAATTCACATTATGTAAAAACATTACAAGAAAACCTTAGGTGTAACCAAGGGCAACTATATGTAACCACCAATTCTATGGACCTAAAGTCCTAAACTCACACCAAAAGTGCAAAAATATTGGAGATAAAAGAATCCAAATTTACCTTGATCTTTGGCAGCAGACTTAGCTGCTGACTTGCTTCCTTGCTTCTTGTTTGAGGGCTTATCCTCAGCAGGACTGGATTTCTTTTGGGTTTCCTCCTCAACCTTTTTCTTCTTACTTGAAGATCCCTTAGATTTGGAGGATAAGGCTGAGGCTTCAGCAGAAGCTGCAGATTTTTTGGGAGCAACTGCGGTTTTCTTGGCAGATTTTGCAGGGCTTTTGGCAGATTTCTCAGAGCTACTTTTCTTAGCATTTATAGATTTTTTGCCATTTTTAGCCCCAGAATCATCCTTGGCCGAACTCTTTGGGGTTGTTTCTTTAGAATCCTCTTCCTCTTGCTCCGAATCTGTCTCCTGATCACTCTCTTGTTTCTGCATGGAACCCTCCTCTTCTGAAGAGTGAGATTGAGTTTCCATATTATCATCCTTATCATCAGCTTCAGTTTCTTCTTCAGCTTTTGCTGTCTTTTTTTGTTTTTCCCCAGATGGAGCTTTCTGCTCAGATAAATTTTGTAAAACAAGTGTAAGAGAAACACTAACAATACATCCAATAACAACTCAGGAAAACAAAACTAAAAAATGAAATTACACTTATAATCCAACACAATCCTACATCCTACACTGACATAAAAAGCATAAAAGGAATTTTGCTCTTAGGGGAATAATCCAAGGCATAAGAATTTTGTACACATGAATACTAGCAGTCTCATAAATTTCTATGGCTAACCTATTAAAATTTCAGCCAAGCAATTTTAATAAATCCAGATTATGTTAAGGACTCGATGAAAAATGTTTTAAGACCGCCTATTTGCAAACAATCATAAAGTCGTATAGAATATTAATGTGTTGAGCTAGCTCGCAACTAACAAAGTAAAAATAAATAAATTAATTAATTAAAAATATAAAAAATAAATAAATAAAAGAATAATTATAATAACAATAAGAGAAAATACATGCATCTTCCCTTCTCAGAGTCTGTCTCTCTCTCACTCATGCTACATTACACACCACCATGCCAGAGATCAATATTTAGGGCTGTGAGCTCACTAATGAACTCCCGTCTCAGGCAACCAAAAGTCCAAAACCCCTGTGTTTTTGGGCTTCATAGATGCCCTGCAATTCCTCAATTATAGTATATCGGTATATAGCTTGTTCCCGATTTACAAATGCATTCAAAATATATCTTTCTTTATTTTATAGATTTATGTGTCCAAATGCAGTGTTAGATATGTCAATTTGAGTAAACGAGTCAGGTTTGGGTCGGGTAAGAGTGGTTCAGGTCAACTTAGGTCGGGTCAATTCGGGTTAATGCCATAACCTATGCGGGTCGAGTTCGGGTTAGGTCATGCTTGAGTCGGGTCACATCGGGTCATACATCTTATCGGGTTTAGATCAGGTTTAGGTCGGGTTAATAACAAGTTGGGATACATTCGGGTCGGTTGAACAATAGGACGAGTTTAATTTGGATTTTCACGGGTTAGGGTAATTCTTGGGTTCAAGTCGGGTTCGGTTCAAGTCAATAATTTGCGGGTTAGAACCGAGTCGAGTCATTTTTGGGCTTAAGTCGGGTTCGGTTCAAGTCAATAATTTGCGGGTTATATCAGGTCGGGTCATTTCCAAGTCGAGTCATTCTCGGGTTCAAGTCAATAATTTGCGGGTTACAATTAGGTTGGGTCATTTCCAAGTCAGATCATTCTAGGGTTCAAGTCGGATTATGTTCAAGTCAATAATTTGCGAGTTGCAATCAGGTCGGGTGATTTCCAAGTTGGGTCACATTTAGGTTCAACTAACTATAAATAGATAATTATCATTTTTATCAAGTTAATTATTTCCTTGACTATAATAATATATATGACAACATACTAAAAGGGAACTATGTCTTATAATTTAGGAAGATAATTATCTCCTTTGACCATACAACAAATATATACTATATTAAACTCTTAAATTTGGGGATGATGCTCCTTTCTTTTGCTCGCCTGGACCGACTTGGTCTCCCTAGACAAAATGCTTTGATCAGCAATAATAAGGTGGTCTAAATTTAAATTAAGGTGATTTGAAATTAGATAAACAACCATTTGGGTTGAACTTAGGTAAGGTCAATAACAAGTCGTGTTGTTTTTGGGTCGGGTTAGTAACAGATCGGTTGAATTTTTATGTCTAGGCAATAACAAGTCGGGTTGAATTTAGGTCGGTCAATAACAAGTCGGGTTGATTTCGGGTCGGGTTGAATTTCGGGTCGGGTAAGTCAGGTTAAATTCGGGTTTTGACGGGTTAAAACAGGTTTGGGTCAATTTCGGTTCAAGTCGGGTTCGGTTTAGGTAAATAATTTACGGGTTACATTCGGGTTCAAGTCTCACATACTCAGTCGACTGGAGTCTATGGTTGGTTTCAGGTCGAGTTTGGGTCACTATTTTTTCGGATTCGGATGGGTCAGTTAAGAATCGGGTTCGGGTTGGTATTTCAAGTCGACTCAGCTTTTGACAGCTCTAGTCAGGTTTGCCAAATTTCATAACCATATTGGCTTCGTGTTATATCGTGACATGGGTAAGGTGTTAAATGTCGTATCAAAGTTTTTAAATCTACAAACCCCTCCTTGAATCAAATGGGGGTGAACAAATTATACTCAAATTCACAAAAAACACACTAGCTTCTTTGCCTATTTTATTCAATTTTAGGAGTGTTAACTAGGAGACAAAAATTACATCATTCTTAATCAACACTCAAATGCTTCCTAAGCTCTAAGTGATATGAGCTCTATACTAACAAGATCTAGTAAATTAAAACCCATACAATACTCTAAAAACTCAGCTTAGTTTTACAAAAGATTAAGCACAAGGCACAATAAGGCACGATGCCTTAGCTCTATGAGGCTCAAAGACCTATAAAAGGTGCGTGCCTTTGTGTTCCTTCTAGGCATATAACTATAATTTGCCAAGCATATAGATCAAAAAAGGTAGTCATATGGGAAACTGTGAATAGCACAAATTCACAAGATGTCACAAATATTGCAAATTAACATCTTTTTCCGTATGCGACTATTTGTGATCTCAATTGCCACTAAGGAGGCTCCTACTCTATGGTCATATTAAGTATAATAGTCAATCGTAAAAACTGGGTGATGCAGCTAAGCCATGGGACTCATCTACTTGAAAATTAAGGTTATTGCTTTACTAAAGAAACTCCATAATCAATTACCAGAAATTCCAGCCAAAATCAAATGTGACTTAAGCCCTTAAGGTGATCTGCAAATCTAATATATATATATATATATAAAGGAGAGTTTTTTTCGAGCTTTTAGAGAGACACGCAGGATTTAATTTTTTCAGTGTGCCACGTAGGATAATAAATTTAAGTGGTAGCCAATTAAATACGAGATTATTAATTTCTTTTAGAATAAAATAATTTAAATGACACATAAGCAAAATTGGCAAATGAGATTTTCCAATTTAAATTAATTAAATATAAAATATTATCTTTTGATGTCAGGAATTTTATCTAAATATATAACAGATTATATATATATATATATATATATATATTAGCTAATAAATTCAAATTTTTAGTTTGAAAAGTAGAAACACTCAAATTCATAATTCAATTTAAATGTCACCACTAAATCATTACCTTCGTGATAAGACAAGTACCTTTAATCTATTGAAATTAAGTGTGACTCATCTACTCCAAGTATAATTCAATTTAAATTATATAAAAGCTGATAGAGAATGGGTAAACAAAAGCTATAACAAACCTTGGCAGACTTTTCAGCAGATGAAGCTTTGGAGCGGCTCTTTGCAGGGGTTGCCTTTTTCTTCTGTGTTTTCCCTTTCTGTCAATTACTAAGAAGGATTAGGACAAGCATTTTTCACTAGAGCCAAATTCAAAACTACCTTAAGCAACAATAATTTATTACTAGAGACCTGCTCAGCAAGCAAAACTTCAGTGGTAGCATGTGGTGACTCCAAAAACTCTAACAACTTCACAGAGAGATCTTCCTGAAAACATTGATTAAGACAAATACAGATTAGTAACAAAACACAAGCACTGAAACAGACCGGAAAAAATAAAAATTAAAGGAATGTCTTTTATCACGATACTACTCTACTATTCACCTTTCTAACCGAAGCTTTATTAATAGGAATATTTAGCACATCACAAAAGTCCAACAATTTTTCTTTAACACATTTGTCAAGCTTCTCCTTTGTTTTGGCTCTCTGTTTTTCCTGTCAGAATGAAAAATATCAAGCTCAGACCATTGGGGATAGAAGGAAAAAAGGCTGCAATAATCATTTTAAAAAATGCATGCATGTTATTGGATAAGCAGTAAAGCACTCCTTATGATATGACAGACACCTGCTTGGTGTCTCTTACAATCTTACTACAGAGTATGTCTTAATTTTTCCAACAAATAAAATCTCTTTTACCCCCTACACTCACCTCAACCCCCAAACTTTATCATTTTCTTGTACCCCTCTCCTCACTTTCTCTACTCATCCTCTTTCTCCCACAGTTTCAACTTTATCATAATTGACCAACAAGATCAAAAGTTCAAAACAGAGTTCCAAAAATCCTACTTTACATTTATCCAGCTAAGTAAAACATAATTAATCTGCATATGCTCTGTAAAGCAGCCAGGTATAGCTCTAATTAATACTATATACACCAATGTTATCCTTTTAGTTCCATCTACACCAATTTTATCCTTATAGTTCCATAGTGTTTGAAAAAGCGCACAAAGATGCTGAGGCGCAAGGCGTTAGAGGTCATGCGCTTTTTATGGTCAGGGTGAGGCGACTTCAATGAGGTGCGCCAAGGCACACAGAGTTTTTTTCAGAATTTTTTTTATTTCTTATTATATGCACCTCACTTCAATGAGGAGCACTAAGGCGCGCCTTAGGCGCAATGTACTCCAAAACGCCTTGGTGTGCCTTGAGCGGTTGAGCCTTTTTATACATTGGTTCCATTTAAGACAAAGCCAAACAAATTTAGGAATAGTAATGACCATTATTACCAAGCTAATATAATGACTAAACAATTCATGGAAAACTCTTACTACCTCCATTTTCAAAATTTCTTTATGGCTCTACAATTTCACACAATATTAATGTAATTGTGAAGAGTGTTGATGTAGTGAACGGGTACAAGAAAAAGGTGGATAAAGTAGGAGTGAGTGTAAAAAAGTGGGTGTAAACAAAAGGTGAAAATGTAAAAGATAGAGTGTAAAAAATTGGGATGCATAAGAAAATGTTGGAACAAGTATGAGAGAATGAATGGAAAAATGTTGAACTTTCAAGAATTGACTAACACAAAAGGCGTAAAGAACTTTCCGGAAAAGTTAAAGCATACAAGAATTTGACCTACATTGTCAAAACTTTATAACATGGGAGTCCTATTACTTTTCAAAACATAAATATTCCAAAACTTGTTTGTAAACAAGTGGCTATCATATTGCCAATGCATATTGTTATCCAACTAGGAACAACAGCAAAGTTTCAAGATAAGGAAATTGGCTACAGCAAATTAGTGATCTATAAGACATTGACCATAGGAGCTTAATTGCATATAAAGATACACAAATAAAAATGCAGATACATCATACATGTATACAGAAGAAATATTATTCCCTTTACTGCAAGAAAAGAAAATATGGGCATAAATTGAGAAGAACAAAGTGGGTATCAAGAAAAGGCAGGATAGAGTTGAAAGCAACCGTAATTAAAAACTGCAACAAAAAAAATAAAAAATAAAAAAATGGTAATTAAACCCTAGAGATAATGCCATAATCTTAAATTTGATTCGTTACACGATCTTAAGAACATGAATAGCATGTAACTAACAAGATACTGTTGAATAAAAAATAAAAATAAAATAAAAATAAAAATCAACGACAAAAAGTAACACCAATATAATGTTATTGGAAGATTTAATACAGAGTGACATTAACAGCAAATGAGCATTCTTGGTTCCTAAACTTCAAACTAGTTACTTCTATGTGACTCATAACCCATGTCTGCATAAAAGAAACAAATAATAATATAAAGCTTAGGTGAGATAAAGGGCAAGCTACCTCATTATCAACCCACACAAAGCCAGAAAATTGACCAATATCTTTCTTCAAATTATGCACCTAAGAAAAAAGGCAAGGATCAGAAGTTTGAGTACTTATCAGACAAAATTATCATCAAACACAGCCAAGAACATGAAAAGGTTTTTTAAATTAAAAGAAAAAAGAAAAAAACTTACCTTTGCTTTCTTTCCAAAAAGAATTGTGTGCAGTAATTGCAGATTATCATCAGGTTTTCTCTTTGAAAGCTTATAAGCCACTAAAACATGTCAAAAGATCAGAATTAAAACAAGCCAGTCTGCAGTAAGTAAGCTTGGCAGTGTCAATATTCATCCATCAATACGTGAATTCAAAAAACAATCAGATTTAAAAATTGCAAATATTGACTGCTTTATCTCTTCTACAGAGACATAACTAAAATTAAATAGCAATAATACCAAGGAAAATTGAAAAGCCAATAGCATATAACATATATATATCATACTCCATATTAAACTTAGTTGTAGGTAAGCAATAACACCATACACATCAAAATTTTCACTTTTTTAGTTGTAACACCTACATAAGGGCACTGAACAAAACGACGGCTTATCTATTGAATGAACTTGTAACCTGGTTATACCACACTAATCAAAAGATTTTAGGTATTCACAAAATCATAACTTTACTATCAACCTTACATCACCTTCAGTTCAGCTCCACAGCTTAGCTTTTATACTTCCCAGCAATGAAAAAGAAATTAAAACCAAAATCAGTTCTTTGCAGGTTCTAACAATTGTTAATAAACAGCAATGTAGGATCTCAAAAGCACTAATTATAAATCTTATAAAAGCAGCACAATTCCCATCCTCATTTGTTGACTTCTGTAAATATAAATCCCAATCTCATAAGCTACTCGCCTTCTCTAGTTATCGCCACTCCCCATCCCCAGCCTCAAGGAAACATCAAGGTCAACAACATCTAGATCTTGTAATTATAGCCAGGTCCATTTAAAGTCCAAAGGGTTAAAAACAGCAAAAATGTAAAATTAAAAGAACTCATACAGTACGTATTATCAACATACCGGTTCACCATCCCCGTCTTTTGACTTTTACGATTATAACTCATCAATCTCATTCACTACTCCAACCATCTCCCATCCCCATATATCTCAACCCAAAGATACATCAAAGACACCAGCATTTCAAACCTCTTAAAATACAATGCTCAATTTAACTACTCCCTTAAAGAAAAGGGATAAAATCCACAACAATAAACCCAATTTACAGTTCAAAGTACAAAATTCACCACAAAACACCTACATTAACCAGCAATTTCAAGAATATACACAAATAAAACACAAAGAACTATAAAAGACAAGAAATTAATGCATACCATTTGGAATTTCCTTGAGCACAGTTCCACTACCCTACATATAGTTAAAAAAAAAAATCAAGAATTCATATTAATACCACATTCATTAATTCATGTACAAACTATATTGAACAACAACAGAATGAGTACATATAAAATTACAACCAAGAACAAATCTTTACACAAACTACAAACAAAAGAAACAGAATTCACCTTCGCAATCGACAACGATTTAGCACCGGAAGACCGACTAGCCGGCGAAGCAATCTGATACCTCTCAACAGCTTTCCTCTCCCTAGTAGGCCTCTCAACCTTAGGAGTAACCTCTTCTTTCGGACTCGAATCCGGACTCTTCTTCCTCTTCTTCTTCTCAGACTCTTCCTCCTCTTCCTCTCCTTCCTCCTCCTCTTCAACTTCCTCCTCCTCATCTTCGCCTTTCGTCTTCCGATCTCTCTTACCCTTCTTCACCTCCTTCTCCTCAACTTCCTCCTCTTCTTCTCCTTCCTCCATTTCCTCTTCCTTGACATCATCTTCTCTCTCCTCCTCCTCCTTCCCTTCCTTCTCCTCTGCTACCTCCTTGCCTTCATCTTCAACCTCCGGCTCATTCTCCGGCTTCTTGTCATCCTGAACTTCCGTCGCCATTGACGAAGCTTGAATCTGCAGAGGTTTAGCGGAAACCCTAGCAGAAATTGGAAACCCTAGCGAAGTGAAGCAGTGATCGGACAGTGAGATTCAAAGTACTGCGAAATTTTGGAGAGAGGAGAGAGAAATTCGGGGGGGAAAAGAATGGAATTGGATCGATTGGGGGGAAAAAGAGAGAGAATTTGGGGTTTTTTAGGGGGCGAATTTTTTTGGATGAGGGCGGGCTGTATTGCCGATTAGGCGGGGTTCAAATATTTCATCACCAAATTTTTCCTTTTGTAAATTCAATCCGCGGGTTTTAATTTCTTCAGATTTTTTGGGATTTCTTGTCATTTTTATATCTTGCTGTTTTATGGTAAGGAATCGGGTTCGATTGGTAAGGAATCGAGTCTCATTATATAACAGATTTTTTTAGTTTTAAGATGCGGAGTATTAAAGACGTCTTAAGTTATCATACTTTGTAAATTAGTGTCTTGGTTCGTTTGAGATGTTTCATCCCTGGTGGAGTTGGTTGATTAGAATTTATAAGTATGGTGACATAAATGTAACAGTTGAAATTTAAAATGTTAAAGTTTGGGATCTATTTGGCATGTAATCTTTGCGCCTTTATGGTTATGAATCGGGTTGATTATGTGACAGACAGCTTATTATTAGGATGTGAAGTATTAATAGTGTTTTAAGTAAGGAATCGGGTTGAATACCTACCAGACAACTTATTATTAAGATGTGAGGTATTAATAGTGTCTTAAATTTATACTTCGCACGTGTCTTGATTTGCTTAAGATAGTTCATACAATCCTTGTATAGTAGGTAGATTTAAACTTTTAAGCATTGCGACATTAACTTAACAATCTATTTAAGTTACTAATGTTTGGAATCAATTTAGTGTGCAATCTAGCTTTCTTATGGTAAGGAATCAGATTGATTATTTAACAGACACCATATTATTCAGTTGTGAAGTATTAATAGTGTCCTAAGTTTATATTTCGTGCATGTCGTGATTCATTTTAGATAATTCATCCCTTATGTAGTAGGTTAATTTGAAATTTAAGCACAGCGGCATTAACTTAACAATATATTTTAAGTTGCTAATGTTTGGAACCCATTTGGTGTGTAATCTTGCTTGTTTTGCGGTAAGAAATCAGGTTGGTTATTTAACAGACAAATTATTAGGATGTGAATGAAGTATTAATAGTGCCTTATACTTCGTGCATGTTCTAATTCACTTAAGATATTTCATCCCTGGTATAGCAGGTTGATTAAAATTTTCAAGTATGACCACATTAACTTAACAATCTATTTTAAGTTATTAATGTTTGGAATCCTTCTGATGTGTAATAATCTTGCTCTTTAATGGTAAATAATCGAGTTTGATTACCTACAAGTAGCTTTATTGGTTGAAAGTGATATATTCAAAGCATATTAAGATACTTGTGATTTTAGGTTTTTCATATAGTTAATATGCTAAAGGTATTTTTAACATATTTTCGTCCCTACTACGCGTCTTACAAATAAGCTAAGTAATTACCTATGGTAGATTAATTAAAAATTGGAAAAAATTGCTGATTTTTTATTTTAAAATAATCCTAAGTTTGGATTATTATTATTATTATTACTATTATTATTATTATTATTATTATTATTATTAAATAATCTCAATTTGGGGGTATTACTTTTTATTAGGCCCACATGACCGCTAACCAGATGAACGTGTTTTTTTGTTTTTTTTTTTTTTTTTGTAAAAGTTGTCATGTTTTGCATTTTTATTGGTTCTTATTTTTTTTCTCTTTCCTCCCTTTCCACCACCGACAGCCCAACAATGTCCTCCCCCCATGTCTGTGACCCAACTCCCTCTTCCCTTCTCCCTTTATTCCCAATCCATCTCCCCCCCCCCACCTCTAGTAGCCATATTTCTCTCTCTCTCTCTCTCTCTCTCTTTAAATCATCGGTGGTGGAGGTTTTTGGTTGGATGCAATTAGGTTCGTTTTCGATGATGGAGGAAGGGCTTATGGTGGTTTTAATTCGGGGTAGGAGAAAGGGGGGCGTTTCGAGGGCATGCTTAATTAAGGTGGTTTTAGGGTAGGAGAAATGGAGATGATGGTTTTGAGGGTGGGAGTTTAGGTGTTAAAGTGGGGAAAATGGAGCTGGGGGGGTGGTTTTGAGGGTTGGGGTTTAGGTTTTTGGAGGTTTTGAGGGTTGGGGTTTAGGTTTTTGGAGGTTTTTAGAGTGGGAGATGGTTTTGGGGGTGGGCTAGGGGCTGGTTTGGGGGGCTAGCCGCCCGACAGTGGTTGGTAGGGATTTTTTTACAGCTTTTTTTATACCGATAGGGTGATGACATGTATTCAATGACCTGCTAATCTGCTATAACAAGTTTAGTAACCTCTTAGGCCAATAAAAGCAAATTCTAATAAAATTAGGATTATATTATTCAATAATAATAATTAAAAACTGGGAATGTTAAAAGAAATTCGGCTAAAGTTAAGATTATTAAAACCAATTTTTCCTTAAAATGTTAAGTATGAAACATTAGATTTACAATCGATTTTAGGTTGCTAATTGTTGGAATTTGTTTGGTGTGTAATGTGTAATTTCACTCCTTTTACGGTAAGGAATCAAAATAATTATACGAAAATCAACTTATTAGAAGGAGACAGAATATTAAAAGCGTCATAAATTATTTATCTCATTTTAGGTTAATAATCTTTGTAGATAATTATTTTGTTAAGGATATATACTCACACCTTTTTTTATATAAGTTCCCCATTGGGACATGTTGTACTATTTATTTGATCTATTGTAACCAGTGTTTGTGAATTATACATAAGAAAAAATAGTTTTATGGGTACTTGTTGGAATCGTCTAAATGAATAGATTATTAATATTTAATTGTTGTACTTTTATACTTATTGATAATTAAAGATATTATTTATCAAAGTTCTACATTAGTATGTGTGCCAAGCTCTAACGGAGCATTCTAATAAAAAGGAGGGACTATAAAATATGTCATATTAGCTATGTGTTTAATTAGTACTCTGATACCCACTTTTAGGATTCGAGTTTGATTATCTAAATGTTAGCTTATTAGTAATCGATGAAGCATTAAAAGCGTCTTTAATTTATCTATGTCTTGTTTTTAGGTTTGTGTATAGTAAATTCGTTTAGGGTATTTGAGATATTCCATCCCGCTGCGTATGTAAGCTAGATAATTACCTGTAGTAGATTTTTTGAGGACAATTACCTATAGTAGATTGATTCAGATTATTTTTAAAGTTTATCGGAATTCACTTAACAATCTATATTAAGTTGCTTATAGTGGAACGTATTTGGTGTCTAATGTATAATCTTACTTCTTTTTATATATGGTAAAGAACCTATTATTAGTAGGATAAATGCGAAATATTAAGAGCGTCCTAGATTATCTCTGCCTCGGTTTAGATTTTACTCTTTGCAAGTATTGTATGTGGAAGGTTGATTCAAATTTTAATATATGGTGACATTAACCTAACCATATATCCTAAGTAGCTTGTGCTTGATTGATTTATTGTTATGAATTTAAACTATGGTGAAACTAATTATATAAAGTTGTATAGGTGTGTATGTCAATATTAGTGTTGTAATACCCCTCATGATTGCTTTGAAAAGAGTTTAATATACTACTTATACTTGTTATACAACACTTATACCAACAAAATGCATCTCTTTTTTAGGGAGCTCATATGCTAAGAAGCCTAAGATACTTGTAGGTTGTAATGCCCTTCACGATTGCTTTAAATGGATTTGATATATTACTCATACCAACAAGATGCATCTTCTTTTTAGAGAGATAGTATGCTAAGATACTCCTCACTTAAGTGTGCTTGGTTGGGTGTAGTCTTGGGATGGGTGACCTCATGAGAAGTTTTCTTAAGGTGCGCATGAGTGAAGACAAAACGCGTCGAAAGGACTTATGTAGTGTTGGGGCTAAAATTGCAAATTATTTTCGGGGCCCTGTTCAACTTTTCAAAATGGGGCCTTCTACTCGATAAATTTAATACCTAATTTTTATTTGATAAAAAAATTATTAGAAAATTCGTCAAAAGTAAAGTGAAATCCTAAAAATTCCAAGAAATCACTTAAAAAGAGCAGCTCTTCTTGCATGTTTTGTAGCAAAATCATCGATGATATTCTCCATATCGTCTTCATCTAAAAGATCAGATTCAATAGCCGTTAAAGCGAGATTTAATCTTTCTTGTGACATTGTCGTCCTTAAGTACAACTTTAGCAGCTTCAACTTTGAAAAACTCCGTTCGGCAGAAGCAAAAGTAATAGGAATTGTTAGTAATATCCTATATGCAATTGTTGCATTTGGGAAGCAAGTATATCGTTTTAAAAAATTCGATAAATCAATTGCTCCCACTTTCTCCTTGGGTAAAAACTCTCTAAACCATGTTAACTCAACAAATAAATCATCTCCATCAAAATCAGAAACCTCACCTTTCTTAAGAGCATTTTCAAAATTAAAACAAGAAGATAAAAGTTTCTCGTCATCCATTGAATGCAACTTATCAGAATTGAACAAAAGGCCAAAGATATTCTCATATGATTCATATTGTATAAACCTTTTTTTTTTCCAATGATGCAATAGTTTGATCCATAATGTATATAAAATATTGGATTCTAAATGATTCCTCGGGATATAATAGTGTTTCATCACCACCATTTATTTCATCAAATTGTCTTTTTCTATGTATTATACGTCTTTGAGGAAATACAACCATACAAGATCAATTCCAATTTCAATATCTAATTTTTTTGCAATATCCATGGCCTTTGAAAAACCATTCTTCCTATATTTTTTTAAAAAGGAAATCAACCCTTTAATCTCACCAATGGCGATATCAATCAGCATATCATGGGATTGTAATCGTTTACTAACAAAGTTTACAGCACATAAAATTTCATACCAAATTATTGTAGCAAGCAAAAATTCAAAACTATCAAGTTCATTATTTGCTAAAGGTCTAGCTTCACTTTGAAGTTTATGGTCATTGTCAGCATCATCTACTTCAGCTACTTCAAGTAATGCTTCACGTATCTCGAGTATTTGAAACCTAATTGCTTTGATGCTTTCAACACGACTTTCCCATCGAGTGGCAGATAATGATTTAAGAGTTAAACTTTTAACATTTTCTTTTAAAATATGTCATCTGTTGGTAGAATTAACAAATATAGTATAAATGCGTTGGACTATTCCAAAGAATTCCCTTGCTTTAAGAGAAGCATTTGCAATGTCACACAAAACTAAATTAAGACTATGACAACCACATGGAGAATAAAAAGCTCTAGGATTCAAATCTACTAGTCTATTTTGCTCACCTTAATGTTTACCTTCCATGTTAAAACCATTATCATATCCTTGTCCCCTAATATTATCTATGTCAAGATCATGAGATATTAACACATTTTTAAACACTTTAAACAGTCCTAGACCAGTAATATCATTAACTTGTAAGAGCTCAATATAAAATTCTTTCACTTTATAAGAATTTGAACATTTATCAACACACCTTAAAATTAAAGGCATTTGTTCTTGATGACTAGCATCAGGTGTACAATCCAACATCACAGAAAAATGTATTGCTTATTTTATTTTCTTCATAATAGCATAATTGATTTTAGAAGCAAGTAAGAGTATCAATTCGTTCTGAATGTCATGGCTAAGATAATGATGATGAATAATCCCATTCTCAATACGATGAACATGCTCAATAATAACATGATCAAATTCAGCCAACATTTCAATCAAACCTAAAAAATTTCCATTGCTACTTTGATATAACCTTTCGTGTTTCCCATGAAATGCAAGGTTATTTTAATTCTACCAAGGAACTTCACAATAGCAATAATTCTAATAATGACACTTTTCCAGTATTCCTTTTCTTTTTGAAATTGGTCTTGGGCAACTTTGTTTGTTTTTTCATTATTTTTCAATCTATTTCTTAGTTCACATCAAGCAGCCATGTTAAAAATGTGATCAACACTTGTTTCATGTTCTTTACGTCTATGACTAACATGTGACCAATCATTATATCCTTCATTCACTAAATTGCCTTTTCCAATACCCTTTTTGAAGATTTTACAACAAAAACAAAATACTTTATCAATATCTTTAAAAAAAAGTCAGTCTCTATCACAAGTTTCACCATTAGGCAAATATCTACTATATAAATTTGCAGTAAATCTCTTAGATACTTTGTCTTTAGGGCCTTTCACTATGGTTAAGTCTCTTTTAGAGCCATTGAGAGCCAAAATGTCAATCGATTTTTGATCAAGAGCTTCCCATATCCTTGGATCATATATCTCACGAGAAACAGAATTATTTTCTTGAACATTGTTGTTTAGGCAAATCTCAATAAGGGCATCTAAGAATTTGCTAGGTTTGAGGGGTAATAACAATCATTCTACCAATAGCATATAAAACAACTAAGAACAATGATAAATCAATAAGTAATCAATAAGTAAGCAGTAAATAATCAATTATATAAAGAAGATGAGTTTAGAGATACAATACTGAGTAAGGACAAACCTCCTTGTTCAGTAGGGATGCAATTCTGTAGATAAAAGTAGAGCAAATTGTTTATATTTAAGTATATGCGAGCGTACATGAGTGCTAAAATGCCTAATTCTTCTTATTTATACCTAGGGATCTCTAGGGTTTACAAATATATTCAGAATATATTTGAAATGTATAAGATATTCTTGATTTATCTTGTTCCCTGTTCTGTAGGTGTATCTTTGGCAAGTATCTCCTTGATTGATATGCTTGGTGCTGCTTTCCTTGTTTATTCCAATCAAGCCGTTATGCATATTCTTGCTGATTTATTGATCTTGGACTGGTGCCCTAAGTACAATGGGTCGTGTGGTAATACGGGTCCAACAATTGTGAATATTATGGTCTGAATTTTCCTCCACATTTTGATCAAAATCATCAACATTATTCAGATTCACATCTTCTTGCTCCACATTAATATTATTATTATCAACATTAACATTGTCATTATTCACATCTACATTATCATTATCAACATTAACATTATCACCACCAACATTATCATTATTTTCATCTAACTCTGAATCAATGGGATTTACACTTGACTTTGACACTTTTTTAAAAAACTTATATAAAGCACCTTTTTATGATTGAATGAATTAATCTTCCTTTTTTTATTGCGTTTTTCATGCAGATGGGTACTTTCGAAACATATTAAACACAATTACACAAAATATTTGATAGAGAGGAAAAATATCACCAGAAAAAGCTTGTAACAAGTCGACAGATGCGAGATTGCTAATTGCTATGTATAATCCAATACTCTATCAAAACCATTCATCAACCTATGTAATAAAAAAATAAAAATAAAAACTTATCAATAATTTATAAATAATAATTGCCAAAATTTAACAAAAAAAATAAAAAAAAGCATAATACTATCAAACATTAATAGATTTACGGGTTTTTCACCAAATACCACTGAGTTTTAACAAAATTCACCAAATACCACCAACTTTTTTCGAATTCACCAAATACCACTCACTTTTTACAAATTATCACAATTGTCTATTTTCTTAACAGACGTTAGTCTGTCGTTTGTGTTAGTTTACTAATTCACCATATACCACTCTGATAAACTTTGATTCACCATATACCACTCTGATAAAATTTATTTCACCATATACCTTAATCTAATAGCGGCTACTTTTTTTTTTGAAAAAAAAAATAGATGTTTCCATTTATAACGGCTAGTTTGTGTTAGTAAACTAACACATGTGTTGGTAAACTAACACAAACGGCAGACTAACGTCTGATAAGAAAATAGGCATTTTGTGATAATTTGTAAAAAGTGAGTGGTATTTGGTGAATTCGAAAAAAGTTGGTGGTATTTGGTCATATTGAGCAAAATGTTGGTTCGGGTTATGAATTTCAAAGTCGGCAAAGTGTTTTGCTCAATATGAATTTCTAACCCGAACCAACATTTTTCTCAATATGACCCTTGCACCATCTAAGTTTAACACAAACATCACACTTGTAATACAATCTTTGAGGATTTTTTGCCGAATCGGTGCTCCTAATTGCAAATTTCCTTCCACATGAGCACACTTTGTTTGGCACTCTCACATATGAAGATTCATAATAAGAGGATGACAAATAGAGTGTGTGAACATATTTGAAAATTAACTAAGGTTTGGTTGTGCTTTACACCCCTATAGGTAGCTGCTTTTATACACAAACTGGCCGTTATAATTAGCAACGACTAGTTTTTTTTTTTTTATTATTTTTTTTTTATATTTAAAGTAGCCATTATTAGATTTGGGTATATGGTGAAATAAATTTTACCAGAGTGGTATATGGTGAATTAAAGTTTATCATAGTGGTATATGATGAATTAGTAAACTAACAGAAACAGCAGGCTAACGTCTATTAAGAAAATAGGCATTTTGTGATATTTTGTATAAAGTGAGTGGTATTTGGTGAATTTGAAAAAAGTTGGTTGTATTTGGTGAATTTTGTTAAAAATTCGGTGGTATTTGGTGAAAAATCCGACAGATTTAACACAGACCGTAGGCGAATCCACGTATGTCCATATCCGTTGTTGATTCCAAAGAGGTTTGTGATGAAATTTTATCCAATTACTAGCTATACTCACAGTACTTGCAAAGAATTTTGAAATTAATATTATCTTAAAGATTTATTTTTTATTTGTAAAATTGAAAAACTAAGTAAAATGCATATATAGAAAAATTTGGGGGATTAACTACAGTTTAACAATGAATTTCATCTTAGAACTGAAGATTTATCCGTTGAAATTATGAATTAATTTGGGTAAAATAATTTTGAAAGATGAAAAATTTGTTGATTAATTGAAAATAGTAATAAAAAGTAAATTAGAAATGTTAAAAACAATATGTTTTAATAGTTAAGTGTGAAATTAATTTTGAAAATATAGAGTTTTTTTGGGAATTAGAATGATAGATTGAAATTTTTTTGGGAGAAAAATATTTGAAAAGAGGAAAGATCTAGTTTTTGGTTTGGGCGGAGGATTCTAGAGTAATTTCATTCATTGTATTTGGACACTCACCGACATCACATGCCAGCTGTACACACTTTATTTCCCCCCAAAAAAATGTTGGCCCAAAGGCTTGAAACCGGATCTCATGTACAAAGTATAAGTGCCCTGACCACTACTCCAACTACAACTTTATGATATTATTCCCAACTTAATTAGATATATCTAAATTTTGGGGCCCCTCAAATTTGGGGGCCCTGTTCCGTCGACCACCTTGCTCCGGCCCAGAACCGCCCCTGGACTTATGTTGGTATGTGAGGACAATTGTTGCCCCTTGATGCGCATTTCATGACAATAGACTCCATAATTTGTTTGGGGTCGGGGTGTTACAAATGGTATCAGAGTAACCTTGCGAGCGTGTGCTAATTGTGGATAATTAATCATATGTTAGTCACCTAGCGGGGGAGAATTCTGGGGCCATATGGCTGTATGCAGACTGGATGTAACACTTCGTCTACCCAATTGCCTTAGGCGTAATACTAGGGTCCTTAGCATTCCAAGAGAAACGGGGACATGACCATTCTCAAGTAGGGGTATATGTAATACCCCTCATGATTGTTTTAAAAGAGTTTAATATACTACTCATACCAACAAGATGCATCTCCCTTTTAGGGAGTTCATATGCTAAATACTTCTCATTTAAGCGTGTTTGGCTAAGAGTGGTCTTGGAATGCGTGACCTCCTAGGAAGTTTTCCCTAGGTGTGTATATGAGCGATGACAAAATGCGCCGAAAGGACTTGTGTAGGCATGTGAGGACAGTTGTTGGCCCTTGATGCGCATTTCGTGACAATAGGCCCCTTCCTAATTTGTTTAGGGTCGAGGTGTTACAAGTGTAAATAGTTATAACTTATATGACTGTTAGTTAATACTAGACACAAGAAGACATAGCCTAGTGACCACAACATAATGGAGTTGCATAGAGAATGAACATTTGAAAAATAATCAATACATTAATAAAAAAAACCATGCAACATTTACAAATAAATCTAAATTTAACAATTTGATAGGTGTCATAAATGACACCCATTTGATGTGCATTTAGGTTGTTTTATTCCTCTTTTAATAGCTTTCATGCTCAATAAATGCCTAGTTTTATGCATTTGGCCTTGCTTTTACCTTTCCTCTCTTATTTTGTAGCTTTTGTGCATTTTGTTGGGTTTTCTACTCTTTTCTCCTTTATTTGCTCTGTTTTTGTGGTTGTAGGTATTGTACAAGGTCCGGGTCTTGATATTGGTGATTTACTAAGGTGGAAGATGCTTTTGGAGCAAGATCATGGCAATTGGAATGCTCAAGATGCAAAGAAGTGGATTCTCCAAGTTCTAGCTCTTGCGCTCTCAAGCCATGCTCTCATGAAGATGGGGTGTTGAACCCACTATCAAGTTCTTTTTGGGACTGCCACTCTTAGTGTTCATCATCATCATATTGCGCATTCACTCGAAGACCTTAGCGAATGCACGAAACCGCGAGAAGATCCGAAGAAACCCATAAAAACGCGGGCACGCAGCCCCTTTTGCGAGCGCGTAGGCCTGTTGCGCGGGCGCGCACCACTGCTGCGCGGGCACTCCTCTGGAAGTTCCGACTTCGCTCTTCTTCGTTTCGCGCCTCTTATAAATACCCTTTTGAACCCAATTTTTGTAAGCAAGTTTCATTTTAGATTTTGATCATAATTTTAGCTTAGTTGAGAGCTTCTGTCTCTAGTTTTAGGGTTAGTTTTAGGAGTAGATTATAGAGAGAGAAAGTGAGGAATTTCAATGGTGATTTGAGTGATTGAAGATTCAAGGTGACAATTGTATTGAAGATCATCAAATCAATCAATGAGGATTTCTAACTCTATCTCATTTTATTGCTTTGTTTGATTTCTTATTTTTTTGGTTTGATTTTGATGATTTGATCTTTGATTAGTGTAATTGTTCTTCATATTTTGATTATTCTTGATTTCTTTAGTTGTTTGTGACTAGATGATGTTTGAGTAGTTGTTTGGCTAGGGATAGGGTGAAACTTGTATGATTGATTGATTGTGCTTTAATTTGGTGTTGATTAATCGTTGAGATTAAAGTGATTAATGGAAGTTTGCATATGTGTAATTCGATTAGGCCTTGAGAATTATGCTAGATTGCATTGTAGTTTCTAATGATACAGACCATTGATTTAATTAGGAATTGCAATTGTTGAATGAGCTTGATTAGTGATGCTCCTAGTTAGAGTCTCTCGTAGTTGGCGCTAGTTTGACCTCTAGGAGATAGCTTGTTGACTCTTTTGGTTGAGCTTGCCATTAGTCTTCATAACCACTGACTTGCATGTATTTCTGAGTTACTACAATTGTTATAATTACTTGTTGATCCCCGTTCCTAGTGTTTTATTTGTTTGGTTCTTCGTTTTGTTAGTTGGTTAGTATTTACCTTTAATCCTTAGACTTCGACCTAGCTTAGGCGCATAATTGAGAGCGCTTGAACATTACCGTTCCTTTGGGTTCTACCCTTGACTTGCCTCTATACTATTATTTAGGTTGGTTAAGTGTTTATAAATTTTGTTTGGCCAAGGGAGGATTAGTTTCAACGACCTAGTTCCACCCCTCGTCACAAATACATTAAAACTTTGAATTAAAAAGTTCACATAAATATTGAAGCTATGATTGTAGAATAGATCTTTCACTGGAACACGTACCTCGCACACATTGTTGGAATACACAGCCAATTTGGAGAGGCATTCTAACAAATTCTAGCTTGTAGCCAACGGAATAATTTTCATCTGATTTATTCGAATGTATTTGAATATTTGACAACGAAACCTTACAATTCCGCATTAATTTCAATCACTAACTAACAAATCGGTTATTGGGAAAAAGATGATATATTTCTTGAAAGCCCTAGCCTTCAATAATTCATTAATTCCTAGGGGGAACGAACAACTAAATCACACAACTCCAGCATAATAGGGCTACATTACTTGTATAAATTTATTGAAAGTAAAATTTGTCAATTACTACTCACAAAAAAGCGTTTTGTCAATTATTACTCTTAAAAAGAAAGTTGTTAATCACTACCATAAAAGTAAAATATGTTGTTGATTATTACCCTTAAAAATGATTTATTTGTGCGATTACGACCTCCAGTAGTTTTCTGGTCAATTAGCTCAATTACGATGACACTTGTTACCTTAAATGTAGTTTATGTCATTCTAATCCCATTTTTAAGGCTTAATAATCACCTTATTAGCTGAAAAATGTAATTAATGGTGTTACCAGGGTTGTTGCAATGTTTTTGGGGGCCCTGTTCTAAATTGAAAACATACAAAATTTTAATTTTTAACCTATTATTTACGCCATACACAATTAGGTAACCCTTATATATTGGAAAGATATTTAGCAGCTTGATAAGAATAATTATGAAAAATTAAAATTAATTGCTTAAATGTTTTTCCGTTGTTATGGAATACAAATTGTTTAGTTTTTAATTTCACTGAAATTAACTTTTTTATGTCGAAAATTTTGGAATGGGGAAATATTCATTACAATTTCATGGAATTGAATTGATGTAATTGTGAAAATACTAATTTGAATTGATAGAAGAATATGAAAAGTGTTAGAAATTAATATGGGAGCTTGGATTAATAGAGAGAATATGATGTGCATTACAAATAAGTAGGCTCTTGAAAGTTGCAGCACTGTAAAAAAATTAAATTAGAAATGAAAAAATAGGCCCTCTAATAATCGGGGCCCTGTGCTAGGGAGCACTTTGCACTCCCTAATCTACGCCCATGAGTGTTACTTATTGTAGACACCCAAATATGTCTCCCCAAAACCAAACCCAGTGATGAATACCTTTCATGTCATTTGATTATCGAACGAGGTGAAAGTGTGAAATGTCTAGTGATAAGGATGTTTTTATTAAAATATCTCTTCTTTCTTTCCCTATTTACGAAAAACGTGCAATCTAGTTTATTTTGGTCCATGATAAGGGTCCAATAACAGTGTAGTTGGATATGGTTTGAAAAGAGCTTTCCAACGATATATTATAAACCCAATTCCGATGAATAATGAGGAAGTTATGGCCAAAATACTAAATTGGGCCCGGTTTGGTTCTTACCTACGACCCAATGATCTAGAGGAGGGCCTATTATTAATTATCATTCCTAAAGTTATTAGGATTGATTATAGTCTTCTAGAATACTCTAGAAGGTTCTCTTAAATCCTAATGGAGTTAGGATTGATAATTATGTTTCAAAGAGTTTGAAATTGAATAAAACTTTCCTTTTTTTAATCCTAATTCTATTCGAATTTAAAGACGTTCAAAGACAGTCAGATATTATTTTCGTGCCTCATAATCTTTATCCAAATCTTATATGTTTGGATAGATCTTAAAATTATCTTTCCAATGATATATTATGATATTAATTTCGAGCTATAACGAAAAAGATATGAATGAGATACGAAACTCTATCCAAAACTGACACCTTTCCACTATTTCGGACATATCGTTTTATCTACAAAAGATATTAATCTGATTCTAATTGGGTTG